CCCCCCCCCCCCCCCCACACACACACTGTGTGTTGTGACCTGGAAAGGCAGAGCTGGTGTGCAGTGTAACAGTGGCTTACAGGGAAGGGGTCAACTGCTTTACAAGGCAATCCGACCCGAGTGTCAATTAAAAAATTTTGCATGAATAAATCCCTGATATGTCAAAATAAGAGTTTATTACCTTTATACCTTTATTTAAAGGTAACAATGTACATAATCTTAAAAAAAGCAGCCCTATTGGACCAGTGAAGTGAATTTGTCTAGGCTGGGATGATGTCATCAGTCCAATGCGGGCAGCAGGAAGCATTTCCTCAGACCTCTCTCCACTAGTGATCAGACTGCAACATTATAACTTAGTGGCACGTCACAAGGTTAGAGGCTGCAGCAGGGGGCTGGTCTGTGTCTATGATAATTGTGAACACAGGCAAAAGGACTTATATGATTGTGCCATATATGAAACAACATGTTAACCTGGAGAATACATTCTGGCCCTAGATAATGTCTGAACATGATGGTGCCATTACTCTTGTTGATTTCTCTATACAGTTCAGAACATTTTGGCACCAAGGTCTGTTACAAGAGGTTTTTTTTTTATATGGCTAGCTATTGTTTCTTTTTCTTAGAGAATTGGGAGGCAGGTCTAAGTTGTTGGTCACTGAGTCATGAATAAAGATTGCATGTAGTTCTTTTTAAGTTCTAAAACTTTAGTCCTGAAACTGGACTTTTGGAAAGGTCCACTATGAGCCTGTATACACCATAGTTTTGCGCTAAATGCACGGTATACGAAACAGTGATCTCATGTCCATGAAGCTACAATTGTTTTTTTTCATATGGTAAGCTTTGTTTTACCTAGTCTGTCTGGGATAAAGTACCAGTTGTAGATATTTTCTTTGTACAATGTACAGGTTAAACTTTTACTGCAATTTTTCCAAATGGAAGACCCTATCTTAAAGAGACACTAAACTCAGAAGTTAAAGTATATCTGTAAAAAATAAGTCAAGGCAACTGGACTTGCTGTATTTTTCTTGAAGAAGTTTCACTGGACATCTGACCAGCATCCGACCAGCTTTCTCAGTTCTGATTTGAGAAAGCTGGTTGGATGTCCAGTGAAACGTCTTCAAGAAAAATACAGCAAGTCCAGTTGCCTTGACTTATTTTTTTACAGCTATACCATGACCTGGATGAATGAGAACCTTCACAGACATACTCAGAAGTTAAAGGATTACTAAAGGCTGGGTGTTTTTTTACCTTAATGCATTCTCTGCATTAAAGGAGTACTATGAGGTGAGTGCTTTTCACTCACCTCATACTTCTAGCCGACCTGCGACAATGAGACTATGCGTCACAGGTCGGCTCAGTAGATCGGGAAGTGAGCGAACACATACCAGCGTTCGCTCACCTCTCGATCCTGTCACGGCTCTCTGACGTGACAGGGGAGGGGCTGGATTCCCACCTCCCCGCTCCGATCCGCCAGTGCTGACTGGCGGAACGGACGGGGGAGGGTACAGCTGGGCGGATTCCGGCATAATTGTCGGGATCCGCTTCAGCTGCGGCGTTTCAGTATATCGCGAGCAACAGCTCGAGGTATACTGAGCTTAGGGTGACGGGAAGACACTAGTTTGTGTCCTCCCGTTACCCTAAGGAGAACTATGGGGAAAAGCCTTAACTCCATAGTTCTCCTTTTAAGGTAAAAAATGCCCAGTACCTTTCTGTGTCCCCCGTCCCCCCCACACTTACCTGTCATCCCCGCTTGTCACTGCCAGCGATCCTCCGTCCTGAACTTCCTGGTTGCAGGGGAAGAGATGGAGGACAGAGGAGCCATAGGCTCTGCTGTCAATCAACCTGTTGGGCTGAGAGGAGGGGCGTGGCCTGCCACAGGCTGTTTGTGTCTATGGACACACACAACCACTTGCGGGCACGGCCAGGAACGAGCAGGCACGGGTGCCTTCACAGCAGCCGCTTAGCTGATGAACTGATGTAGGCACCTGTGTGGGGGGCGGGGGAGACAGTGATGCAGGACCCCAATAGAAAATTAGGAATTTAAACTATTTTTAAAATAACAACACATCTGTATACCATCTGTGCCTCCCTTCCATACAAAAAAAAAAAGAGCAAGCTTTAAAATTGCTTTAAATCTTACATTTTTTTCAGGTTGAAAAGCTGGGACCCATGCTTTTCAACCTGTTTATTAACGACATCGGGGACGGAGTAAACAGTGAAATCTCAGTGTTTGCTGACGATACCAAAATTGGGAGGGTAATAGAAACAAACCAAGATAGTATAACTTTATAAGAGGACCTGGATAAAATAGGGGAATGGGCAACTTTATGGCAGATGAGGTTTAATGTTGATAAATGCAAAGTTATGCACTTTGGGACAAAAAACACGCAAATGGGTTATACAATAATGGGTATGCCGCTAGGTAAGTCTGAAATGGAGAAAGATTTGGGGGTCACTGTAGACCATAAACTCAATAATAGATTACAATGCCAGGTTGCGGTAAGCAAAGCTAGTAGAGTCCTGTCCTGCATCAAGAAGGGAATGTTTTGCAGGGATAAGTCTATAATTTTGCCACTTTACACATCACTGGTTCGGCCTCACCTGGAGTATGCGGTGCAGTTTTGGGCACCGGTACACAGAGGGGATGTCCTTGAACTGGAGAAAGTCCAGCGAAGGGCGACCAAACTCATCAAAGGGATGGAGGACCAGAGCTATGAGACACGGTTACTAAATTTAAATATGTTCACGCTGGAACTAAGGAGATTAAGGGGGGACATGATTTTCATGTACAAAATGTTCCATAGTCATAGCAACATTAGCAACAAACTCTTTACGATTAATTCCGTAACAAAGACTAGAGGACACCACCTAAAACTGGTAGAAAAAAAATTCAAACACAAGGGGCGGAGGGGGTTCTTCTCAGTTCGCGCGGTTAGGGTCTGGAACTCGTTGCCACAAGCAGTGATTTCAGCAAAGAATGTGGAATCGTTCAAGAAGCTTTTGGACGATTTCCTGAGAAACGGTAATATACAGGGGTACAAGTACTCCTAAAAACGAGATGACTCGGGGATCTTTACACACACACACACAATAGGTTGGACATGTGTCTTTATTCAACCTCAAATACTATGTAACTATGTAACTATGTAATTATTAACAAAAATTAATCTTATTTGTGTATCTCAATACAAATTAGTAAATTATATGTGAGATTGTAGTCTATCATGGGAGCGAACTTGAAGCGGTGGCTACTTTACAACACACACAGGGGCCATGGGGAACAAAAGTAGTCACCCTCTAGAAGGAAGGACAGTATCAGCATGAATTCAGAGATGATTTGAGGATCTACAGCCGAGTGATACACAAATAAGATACATTTAGGTTATTAGTTAAGGTGCGTGAATGAATTTTAAGATTTAACTCCTGAGTTTAGTGTCACTTTAAGCGGTAGTAAACATCTATAAGTTGTTTTTTATGAATAAAGTATACAGTAAGTCCCCTACATACAAACATTCACGTTGAACTCTCAAAGATACGAACGTGTGTTTGCATGTCCAATCATGTAAGTTAGTTCACATGTGTGGCATACATTGTCATGTGTGTGTGCTTTTGTGTACTTTACTGTATAGAGTACAGTATCTTTAGTTTAAACCCAGGATGTCCAGAAGGAAGTGTAAAAGTAGCAGTGATGTAGCTGGGCACCTCAGCTAACTTTGTTTGATTTACAAACAAATTGGACTTAAGAAGCTGCTCTCGGAACGGGACACGTTCGTATGATATAGATTTTAAGCCCTCAGGGGCAGGGCCCTTCTTACCATCTTGTCTTGAATTGTATTGTGATTGTAATGTCTTCCTTATATTGCAAAGCGCTGCGCAAACTGTTAGCTCAATATAAATCCTGTATAATAATAAGTAAGGGGACTTACTGTATATTTGTTTGGAAGTTTAGTTTTCTACTGGGGTGCTTAAAAAAATAAATGACGAGCAAGTCTAATATTGCCATCTTGCTTATGTTTCTGTGCTTACCAAATGGCAGGGGTGGGCAAATTAACATGGAATTTCAGGGCCAGTCCATCCAATCCAGGAGCCAGAAAGATATTTTTTAGGATCCAGCTCCATTGACAACAACTAGAGAAAATCTCGACAGGTGCTGGCTATAATCTTTTATTAGCATTAGCTACCTGGCCCCTGGGATTTGTCCAGCCATGCAATATGATTACTGCTTATTCCATGCACTCTTTGCTGACTTTAGGAATACTGGCTCAACAATACATATGCAACAGGAAACATTCTAATGAGATTTACTACATGTATGTACTGGGTCAGAGTTATCTGTAGCTATAGTGCTACCCACAGAGGTGATATATATTGAGACTCTCTAATTTGCATTAAAGCTACCCTGTCACTTACTGAAATATGTTACACCAAGCCCATACATGTAATGAAGAGTCTGAACACTTACATCTTCTGCTTTCCTCACCACTAAACACCCTTCACTCACTAGAACCAATTCCCTAAAGTCCATTAGGAAACAACCAGTGTTGATCTGTGTGGTCCTCCGCAGCTCACTGGTGATCGGAATGACATTTAGTAATGAGGACAGCGGGAGAGGTAAGTATTCAGTGTTTTCTTTACAGGTATGGGCTTGGTGTAAAATGTGTCAGTATGAAAGAGGGCTCCTTTAAATCTGACTTTTTTTCCTACCTGCAGGTATTCTAATAGTTTTGCTCTTGATTTCAGGAGAGATTTTTGAACTGAAGGCCGAATTGAACAATGAGAAGAAAGAGAAACGCAAGGAAGCAGTGAAAAAGGTCATTGCTGCTATGACCGTAGGCAAGGATGTGAGGTATTTACGAGTGCGCCTTTGCAACAGATTTACAGCAGATGGATCTGTAACAGGAAGTCTTTTTAAGTAATAGTACAGTATGTGCTACACTTGCATAATTGCTCCCAAGCACTAAACCGGCTAGAAATATTCTTTATAAATGAAACTGAAATCAATATGTCCATAATTCATAAGACAGGCCCTTAGAAAGGATGGTATCAGACAAACAACACTGATTTCTTTTAAGCAACTGCAGGCACCCAGTAAAAGAAGCAATAAATACTTCTCTCTCCAGCAAGTGGAAGGCAAATCTTTTTTCAAGAGCTCTGGGTGCCACCACTATCTGACACTTTCAAGTTGGCCTGTGATGGCGTGTCACTCGCTGATCACAGCAGCCAGCAGGAATGCCATTTGGTTAACGACACCCCCCTTCATGCCGTAGTATTAGTGCTAGGCATTGGCACACTGTTGATGGCCACATCTGCAGCTGGATTGCCTCAGATCCAAAATTATACATTACATTTGGCGGCTTCCGTGTGACCAGTCTGAGGGTAGTGAGGTTTTAGGTAAGCACCCTACCTTCCCTGACTTTGCATGCCATAGATGAGAACTATATTACTTTGTAAAGTGTCGCTCCAATCAGACCTAGAGATATAAAAGTAATAAAGTGTATCTTTAGCTGAATACATTTTTGTTTAGTTTTTGATACAATTGAGTTGTTTGGAACCTCTGTCCAGTGTCTATTGTTGTTTATTGCCCTCACCCGTTCTGTTTGTCCTGGTGAAAATCCATATATTTACAGTTGTCGCCAGAATAGGAGAGGTGACATTTCCCAATGGGGACCTCTGGTCTGTTACAACTTCTTCAGACTTTTTAAAATCTTTCCACTAGTTCACTATGCTTCTATTACCGGTGAGTATGGGGCCTTTGTAGGCTGTACACTTTTGTGGCGTCATTATAAGGGATATAATGTATGCCTAAACTGCTAATGAATGAAACATATTCTTAAAGTATATGTAACCCTTTCACTAAAATATCATCTAAAGCATTTTAAAATATTTTTAAATGTGCAGCTTTAATTAAAATAATCCCTGGTGATCCTGCTATGATGTTCCTTGTTGAGGCACTTCCTGCTGCAGGGTGACAACACTGTCCTTGTCTCCTAATTGTTCTGCGTTGTCACCTTGCTACATGCTCTCTTAATGGAGACTACAAGGTGCCCTGCCAACGCTCTTTGCAAAAAACATAGTCCACTGTTGTCACCGTATAGAAATCTGCTCTGAGAAATGCCATACTACCACAGATGAAGGTTATTCATGTAGACAGAAAGTGGCTGCAAAAGGGTGCAGAAGATGAAAAAAAAAAGTGAAAATATTATTTTATTAAACTGACGCTAAGCTCAGGATTTACATCTTAAGAATGCATTCAATACCTTAACTATTAACAAAAATGTAGCTTACCTGTGTATCACTCGGCTGTAGATCCTCAAATCATCTCTGAATTCATACTGACACTGTCCTTCCTTCTGGAGGGTGGCTACTTTTGTTCCCCATGGTCCCCGTGTGTGTTGTAAAGTAGCCACCACTCCAAGCTCACTCCCGTGATGGAATACAATCTCAATACAAATTATTAAACTAAACGTGAGATTGTAGTCTATCATGGGGGGAGCTTGGAGCGGTGGCTACTCTACAACACACACAGACATTGGGGAACAAAAGTAGCCACCCTCCAGAAGGAAGGACAGTGTCAGTATGAATCCAGAGATGATTTGAGGATCTACAACTGAGTGATACACAAATAAAATACATTTCTGCTAATAAGGTACTTGAATGCATTTTTTAAGCTTTAACTCCTGAGTTTATTGTCACTTTAAAAAAAAAAAAAAGCATTCTAATGCATAGGACCTTTGCAAATTAAGGGACTGATTTATAAATGGTTTGTAGAGCTCCTCGATGTCCGAACCAGATTTGCTGTGCTGTATGGCCGCTAATTGGAGCCAAGGAGCATAGGAAATTCCTATGCTCCATCAAGTGGCCATACAGCACAGCAAATATCATGCACACAACAAAGAGTTGTGCAAATCATTTTATAAATTAGATCCCAAATGTTATTCAGTTAGGGTTTTCATGAACTTTTAAGATTATCTGGTTTATAACAGTGACCACCTTTTTTTTTCTTTTTTTTTTCCTCTCATCAGCTCCCTGTTTCCTGACGTAGTAAACTGTATGCAGACAGATAATCTGGAGCTTAAGAAACTTGTGTATCTTTATCTGATGAATTATGCCAAAAGCCAGCCAGACATGGCTATAATGGCTGTTAACAGCTTTGTCAAGGTAAGCTCCTGCAATACATCTTGCTGTTCAGGAAAGTTGAAAAAACTCTTCTAGTTTCTAAAGTGTTGATGTGTTCACGCAGACAAAGTTAATATGTATTTTAGGAGCAGCAGAGTCATAATGGTTTGGAAAAATTGATTTTCCTTGACTGCTGTTTGAAGCAAACTTGTAGGCTGATTTATCTTATAAACAGTTCAGCACTCGCTTCCTAGCCCATCTATCTCAAGCAGAACCATCCTTCCGCAGATGCTTACTTACCTCTTTTGATGTTGGTGGCCGCTTGACTACATCCTAGCAAGTCTCGTGTTGGACTGCCTGCGCACTAACAAATGGGACATTGCTCCTGAGCACATTCTGTTCACATCTATGGGGCATTAGCTTCCTGTACAGCGCAAGATTTGTACTGGCTAGGATGTCAGTAATGCAGGAGGTCCCTGCTATCTGTGGAAGTACCTAAGCACCTGTTGGTGTTCAGCTTAGGTTAGTAAGGGGTGCTTGGGGCAGCAGACTCTCAATTTTTACACTTACCTGTCCTGTTTCTTCAGGATCTTTGCTTGATGGTTCCCTGGGAGCCACATAGCCTCATTGCTGAACATTTCCCGGCCAGGCTCATGCACGGCATAATCTCCATTCCTATGGAAGGGTTGTCTATTATTCATCCCAATGAGAGATGGCTTGTCTGTAGGAGTGAATGTAAAAGTTGAGTTATGACGCGTCCGGTTCCGGCACCCATGTGAGTGGCAGCAGGGAGACGGCGCTCTCGTTACGGCGTCTTTTTGAATTAAAAACCAGCTACCCAACCTGCGTACCGCCTCTCTGCTAAGCCTGCAGAGCACCCGGTGATCGGTCATGGACCGTTTCCTGGAGTCGGCGCGCTCAAGATCCCGATCACTTACCCGGTTTTGGGCCGTCTCTCGGAGTCCCGTGCTTCCAAGATGGCGGCAGTCCCTGCTGTCTCCCCGCAGAGAAGCATGTCTCTGGCCTCTGGTGTGAGGGTCCTGGATGACGACAGTGCCCATGCCCGCATAGCAGCTGCGGTAGCTAAACTGCTGAAGCCTACAATCACTGAAGCGGTGGAGACAGCCATTCAGCAAGGCATGAGTCAGCTCAGGAAAGACCTCTCAGCACAGACACGTGCACTTAAAGAGGTGGAACACCGCATCTCCTCGCTGGAGGATGACTTGCTGGAGGCTCAATCAAAGTTACTCACATGTGACACTGCCTCACGGGCGATGCAGGAAAAAACCGATGACCTTGAGAATCGCTCTCGCCGCACAACCTGAGGTTAGTGGGTCTCCCCGAATCATATAAGCCGAACAAATTGCTCACGCTGTGTTCATCCACTATCTCGGCGTTGCAAGGGGTTTCCGCGGCCTGCACAGCTGAGAGGGCTCACTGACGAGCTGTCAAAAGAAAACGCTAAGGCACCTAGACCGGTAATTGTGCGTTATCTCAACTATGCCGATAGGCTCCAAATCCTACAAAAATATAGAGCTGCGGGGTCTCTTGTGGTAGATGGGAATAAAGTACTGCTATTCGCGGACTACTCCAAGGAAGTGGCGAAACAGAGGAAAGCTTTCAGTGAGGTATGCTCCAACTTATATCGCCAGCGGATCAAATTCACACTGGCATATCCGGCTGTCTTATATTTTACCACGGCTAAAGGTCGCAGCTATTCCTTTCAGGATCCACAAGAAGCATTGCTATTTCTGAATCAGATGGATACCACAAATACTGGGTCTCCCTCCCACTCTCCCTTGCCTCCACGCTCACCGCGGAAATCTACCAAGCTACCAAGGCGGGTGATGGGCACTCCACGCAAATACCGTAAGCGTTGATGGTAAACTGTGTGGACCTTCTGCTGAGTTTTTCTGACTGTTTTTATTTTTCCCAGTCTCTTTGCAGCGTAGGGATGGGCAGCGAACACCGTTTCTTTGTCCACGACACAATGTAATGGGTTCTATAGCGCATATCCCGTTATGCATACATAGGGAAATTGCGAAGTCAGTATTGTATATTTTTTTTTTCTCTTTTACTGTACATGATGTTTTGTTTTCATGCACTATATATGTTCTTACACGATTTGATTACACTATGAACAGAATATTGTCTCACCTAATGCTGGTGTTTGTCTCGCTGTGCCACTTCAGGTGGCCCACTGCCTATTCTGTATCTTGCCTTACTGCGGTTGCTTGGTCGAGCTTCTGGGGGGACCTTCTTACTACCGTCCTTGAGACGCACTTTACACACTTACTAAACCTTTTCATTACTTATCATGACCCCTCTCGTGCACATTCATGAAAATAATTTCGTGGAATGTTAAAGGTCTCCGCTCCCCCAGAAGCGGACCAAGGTATTGCGCCACCTGCCCCGCCTGCGGGCAGATGTGGCCTTATTGCAGGAAACGCATCTCAGGGACGAGGATGTATTTCGTATGAAACGTCTATGGGTGGGAGAAGTATTCTGCTCGCCTTCCCAGGGCCGCAAGGCTGGTGTCTTAATACTGCTTCATAGAAACCTTGGCTATTCAGTATTAGGGGTAGACAAAGATGATGAAGGCTGTTTATTATCAGCGACCCTGAAATGTGATCACACACTCTTTACTGTAACAAATGTATATTTTCCCAACTCACCCACCCAAGCAGATTTTCAATCTCTTGCTAGCTGGATTACTAAGTTTGAACCATCACACCATTTGATAGGGGGGACTTTAACTCTACAATGTCCACGTTGGAGGATAGAAAATGGATTTCTGGGACTATTCCTAAGAGCAGACAATCCAGTTCTGGCAGGCACTCAGCGTTGGCATCTACGATGGATGCTCTCTGTCTCCGGGATGTCTGGAGACTGACACATCCTCTAGAGTCGGAGTATACACACATCTCCTTGGTGCATGACTGCCTGTCAAGACTGAACTACTTCTTCTGCTCTGATACCCTGCTGCCTAACACGTGGTGTCCTGAGATTCATGACCTAGTGATCTCGGACCATGCTCCGATCTCATTAATTGTGAGTCATGCACCGCGTGTGGAGAACATGATCTTGTGGCGATTTCCGTCTTTTCTTACCTCCAACGAGGACTTCCAACACTTCCTTCGCTCTGCCTGGAGGGACTATGCCATGTGCAACGCAATCCACGCAATCCTTTCTACGAGGCGGGCAAGGCATGTATACGAGGAAAGATTATTTCTTATGTCTCGCATATGAGAAAAGGGCCATACAAGCATATCATAGGGCGAGTGATCGTCTGAGGACGGCACACGCCTCCTTAATAGCGGACCCTTCCTTGGCCCGGAAGCAGGACTGGGTGAGGGCCAAGCAGGAGTTCGATCTATGGGCGCAAAGACATGAAAACATTAAAGCCTCTTATGCTCATCTACGTCTCCATAAGTTTGGGAACAAAGCAGGGAAGCTTCTTGCACGTTTGGTTAAGGGTAGATACCGCCCCACCCCTATTTTAACTCTCCGTAGTCCCACGGGTGAGCTAGCCACTGACCCAATACTGATCAATAAAATGTTGGAGGAGTTCTTTAGCTCTCTCTATAAAGAAGATCCCATCGATGAGGCGGCGGCCACGCGGTTCCTAGATAAAATACATCTCCCTTGCTTGTCACTGGAGCAACTGGCTTTTCTTAATGCAGATATCTCCAGGAGGAAGTTTTGGGGGTCATCAAGAATCTGTCTGGCTGCAAGGCACCTGGACCGGATGGTTATACAGCAGACTTCTATAAAATATTGCAGGATGATATACTAGAATCGATACAGGCCCTTTACAATTAAGTATGGGAGGGGGCTCCATATCCCGCTACCGGTCAGGAGGCATACATACGGCTGTTTCCCAAGGAGGGAAGGGATCCGACCAATCCGGGATATTATCGGCCCATATCATTGCTGAATCTGGATGTCAAGATGCTATCCAAGCTTATAGCAAACAGCTTGGCCTTTGTACTGCCCTCCTTAATACATCCAGCGCAGGTTGGCTTTGTCAAAGGTCGGGCGGGTGTGTCAAACTTGAGAAAAGTGCTGTTGGCATTGGAAATGGCCCATTCCTATCCAGCAGACACTCTGGCCATAATTACGTTAGCTGCAGAAAAAGCATTTGACAACGTCAATTTGCAATGGATGTTCCAAGTTCTCTCTGTTTTTGGATTCAGGGACAGGGTACTCTCTCTCCTACAGCGTATGTATGCCTCCCCGGTGGCGAGAATATTGACACAGGGGGCTATATCCTCATCTTTCGCCCTGGGCAAGGGGACACGCCAAGGATGCCCTATCACCCCTGTTGTTCAACCTGGCCCTAGAACCACTAGCACGTCACGTTTTGGTTACACCTGCTCTTTAGGGTATACGGGTGGGAAAAGAGGATCTGCGGACGACATTTTGTTGTTTACCTCACGGCCCAGGGAAGATGCATTAGTGGTACAGGTATTTGTCAATTTTACTATCTTTTCTGGTCTTAGAATTTCACAAAGAGCGAGATTCTACCCCTCTCAGACACGGTGTTGGACTGGAATGCGCGAATGCAGTTCAGAGTGGCACAGCGAGACATCACCTATCTGGGCCTTAGGGTGGGCAAATCACCCTCCTCCCTGTATGGTCTATACTTACCCCCCTCTGACTGATAAAATCATTAAGGAATTGGAAGCCTGGGAAAACCTCCCATTGTCACTCTTCGGGAGAATACACTTGATTAAAATGTCCAGTTTTGCTAAAGTGTTGTATCCGCTCCAAACTCTTCCCCTCCTATTGAAGAGTACGGATATTGCTAGAATTACTAGAGGCATGACGTGCTTCATATGGTAATCAAAACGGCCTAGAATATCTATTAAAAAAATTGTGGCTCCCGAAGAGTGAGGGTGGTGCAAACTTCCTAATATAAAACTATATAACTACGCTTGCCTACTAAGACATGCATTGGACTGGCTGACTGATGAGTCTGCATATTCCAATACCTCTCTACAGAAGGCGTTCCTAGCCCCATGGGATATTAGAGCCACCCTCCACTGCAAGGTTTCAGATCTCCCCATGGGTGTTCGACACAATGTTTTATATAAGGACACAGTTGTGGCTTGGAGGGAGGTGCGGAAGGGTCTTAAGCTCTTCCCCCTTTCTCTCCAATCACAGTCCTATCCTACAAAATCCCATGTTTCCTCAAGGAATGGAGTAAACGGCGTTCCGCCTGTGGAAATCCAACGGCTTACACTCATGGAAGCAACTGTTTCGGCCTTGCACTTTTACACCATACACCTTCCAAGAACTTGCAACACATTATCATTTGCCTTCCCATCATTTTCTACACTTTTTTCAAGTTACTAAACATTGGCAAGCGATAACTAGAGATTCAAAAATACTTTTTGCAGGAGGTGATCAAGGAGCTTAAACTTCTATTCTGTAGGGAGAAACTAGATGCAGAGTCTCATACTGATGCTTGTGCAAAATCTTTCTTTCGCAGATGGAAACTGTTCTTGCTAAAATCTTACACGACAGCGGAAATCCATCAATTTGTTATGCCATTTCGCTATACCAAATGGTATATAACAGGTCAAGTGTCGAACACCCTGGGGCTGTTGGCTTTAGAGCCAGATTAGTTTTGTTGTTTTCGTTTCCACTTATCTTATATGGCAATATGTCGATTGAATAACCGTATGTATCGAAACACCTATCATAGATGCAACTTGTTCGGATTCTATTTTGTTCTGATTTTGTTTTGCTTTTTTGTTTATTATGGCCTGAGAATGAGGCCTACCCATGTCAGCTCTTGTTATCGCCTAAGACAAGGCTTGTGATATCGGCTTTTAGATATGCAGACAGTGGTATTGTATCCAGGGCCGGTGCTAGGATTCTAGGCAAGGTAGGCAAGGTGCATTTTTGCGCCCCCCCCGATCCCGAGTAATGCACTGCCCTCTCCATGACTTGTATACAAACTCCTTCTAACTGTGCTCACTGTCATCGCCTCTCTTACCTGGAATCGAACTTGGTGCCATCTGGCAACAAGCCATGGTAGTGATAACGAAGAAGTCTCCCTCCTTGGCGCTGCGGGGGCACAGCTCGGGCTCCCCTGAGAGGGGAGAGACCCGACTGGCTGGGAAAGGGGCCGGGCTTCGTAATCATCGTTCACCCGGGTGCAGGAATGTGGGATTTCTATCTTTATAAAGCGGGAATTTTATACTCGGCCGGCGGCACAATGAACGTGGAGGAAGTTTAGTTGGGGACAGTTATGTGTGTGGAGAAGTAGGAGCGGAGGATTAGGCCGGCTCCTCTGTTCATCACTGCCTCTCATACAGATGCTGCTGAGCGGCCAGTGGAACCAGGGGCGGGGCCACTTACGTCACCAACTGACGTAGGAGGACGTAGCCAAAGACGAGACACTCAGTGAGACTGTCACTACTGAGACGTGAGACTGCACAGGTCAGCGCCGCTGCGGCCGGGGACTCGTCCTTCAGATGCCGCCCGCCCGCCCGCAGCGGCAGCCCACACACTGGTCTCGATCGGTCACTGTCAATTTTCCGCCCTGTTCCCTTGCGCCGTAAGGCAAGTGCCCATCTTGCCTTGCGCTAGCGCCGGCCCTGATTGTATCACAAAATACTAATAAAATTTGTTTTTAAAAAAAAGTTGAGTTATCTTTAAAGGATGCCAAAAATCTCTGACCTCACCATAATTTCTAGTGTGCTGTGGTCAATCTTGAAGGAACAGAGCTGATCCAGATCTGTTACCTCTTCTGGCAGCAGCAGATCACTGCAGTAGGGGCCTTTTCCTTACTAATAGCAGTAATCTGTTGCTGCAGAAGTGCATGGGGTGGGAGGGCTTAATTACAAAAAAAACCGCTGCCAAGTACCAGCTAGCATATTATATGTTACCTGTGAAAATGGCACAGTTGTTCTTCAATAGGTAATTTCATACAGAACAGAGTGAATGGGGAAAATACCGTATTATGGCTACTGGATGAAGCTGAGGATCATAGGATATAAATGTTAGTAAGGAGATACAGTGTTCCGATTCTAGAGACTGCTGGAGGGAAGGCTCATATAAATATTCCATTGATACTATGGGATAGCAATGGTTACATTTACAGTGTATGCTTATTCTCTTCAACATTCTCTTGCATTGTTACATTGTATCTCTAGTTCTATCAAGCTCTATCTAGTGGCCATGATGTGGTATTTTCCCCATTCCCTCTGTTCTGTATGAATTAACCCTATTGAAGAACATTCAATGAGAAGAGAAATTACACAAAGAACATTTAGTTTTTGCCTGGTTAATGTAGTGTTAAAGAGGGACTCTGGACAGAAATATTCTTAAACCTTACTGTAGGGCTACCCCTGCAAGGGTTAAGTGCTTGTTTTTATCTAGGGACGGAAATAAAGTTATATTCACCTGAACCTTGGAGACGGCTAGCTGCTAGACTGGTCCCTGCTGCCTGTCTCCTCCTCCACTCCAGTGATGGTATGTCCCTCTGCGTCCTCACGTGCTCTACACTGTATAGGATGTGATTACTCACAGGACCTTAGACCGCCGAAGCCGAGGGGAAGAGCGGCTGCAGGGATCCCTCTTTTTGAAAAGTGTCATTTGTGTTCTTTTTAATATGAGGACAATATGTGTTGGGTTGATACCATGATGATATTTTTGGCTGGTCTGACTTAGAAAGTAGATTGTCTGCCTTTTCTTGGGTTGATGTGACATTCCTGTGGGATCTAGGGATGCAACTTTATTTTGTGTGCAGTGCCACTTTAGCGAGGTTAAAATATTCACTTCTTTGCTGCCATTTCTGACATTTTGTCTTTAGCACTTTGAGTTTCTGACCTGGAACATGTATGCAGATTAGGCGTTCAGACTATACATGCTGCATGCTTGTTCCAGCATTTTCACAGGGAGGTCAGCAGTGGCAAAGTTTCTTTGATGACAAGTTTCCACACTTGAATTGCTACCAACCAGTGCAAGCTTTTGAAATGCATGGTTGTATTTATTACACCTGTCATTATACAGAAACCTAACATGTTTTAAATCAGTGGTTCCCAACCTGTGTAACCTCAGGACCCACATTTGTCCTTGGTCATTAAGTTGCGACCCAAGTCGCACTGCAATGGAACGCACGGCATTGCAGTACCGCACGTTTCAGTTTGGACGGGAAGTGGTGATGAATGGCAACGCAACGCACCTCCTGCCCCAGAACGTGTAGTAGGTGCGATTGCATGGTACAGTGCGTTAATGACACAGGACTGTTTGATTAATGCCTGTACTAGTGTGAACGGGCACCCAAATGTGCATTGCTTGTACAGCTGCCCTGTAGAGGTGGCGGTAGCCAGAATGTGACGTCACTCTGGTTCAGGCACCTCTACAGGACACATGAGGGAGAAGTAAATGCATGTATGGATGGAGCTCCTTCATGGCCCTAGCTTCAGCTCACCCCACCTCAAGCTGACACTCGGCGCCGGGCAGCATATTTTAAAAGGCTGATTGGCGCGAGAACTGACAGTGCTGTGCTAGGGGAAGTCGGAGGAGCCCCTCAACTAGAACAGTAGAAGGCACGTGGTCGATCCACTGAACACTTTTGGGTCAGGACCCACCAGTTGACAACCAAGGTTTTAAAGCACACAGTTATAATACATTTAAATAATCAATAAACATTGTCGCTGTTTTTTTTCTGTTTTAATTGACTACGATGGTACAACATTGCGCTGCTCTATTGACATACCATATTTTTTGTAGGACTGTGAGGATCCCAATCCTCTGATCCGGGCCTTGGCTGTGCGTACAATGGGATGCATTCGTGTGGATAAGATCACGGAGTATCTCTGCGAGCCTTTGCGCAAGTGCCTGAAAGATGAAGACCCCTATGTGCGCAAGACAGCAGCAGTGTGTGTTGCCAAACTTCATGACATCAATGCACAAATGGTGGAGGATCAAGGCTTCCTGGATTCACTGCGCGACCTCATAGCAGACTCCAACCCCATGGTAAGAATGACAACTGATTTTATAGTTCCATGAAGACTAATCTTTCTTGGCATGAAATTACTAAAACTTAGTAAATATATTTCAAATGAATCTTGTATCACTAATTTACTGTATAAATTAAACATTACCTTTTTTTGGCTGAGCAAGCATTGGGTTGTTTGAAGGCCTTTAGGGGATATATGTTTAACCCTTTTACCTCAAAGGAAGGTGCATTGATATGCCTGAAATTTTTTTTGACTAGCATGTAATGGGTACAATGCTCAGGGAGGTTGGAATCCCACTATAAAGTGGATGTATGACTTCCTGAGGGCTCCACTACTTCAGAGGCAACCCCTCTGAAGTAGGTGAATGCAGTATGTGCTATATGATACCGTGATTGGTATATATATATGTATACCAAAGAAAATATTATTACTTAAATGGACACTAAACTAAGGAGGTGAATCTTAAAAATACATACAAGTACCATAACTATTACCAATACTGGACCTTATTTGTGTAATTGGTACTGACACTGTCCTTCCTTCTGGAGGGTGGCTACTTTTGTTCCCCATGGTCCTTGTGTGTTGTAGAGTAGCCACCGCTCCAAGCTCACTCCTGTGATGGACTGCAATCTCAGGTTTAGTTTACTAATTTGTATTGAGATTGCTGTCCATCACAGGAGAGAGTTTGGAGCGGTGACTACTTTACAACACACACGGAGACCATGAGGAACAAAAGTAGCCCCCCTCCAGAAGGAAGGACGGTGTCAGCATGAATTCAGAGATGATTTGAGGATCTGCAGCTAAGTGATAAACAAGTAAGCTGCATTTTATGCATGTGTTCAAAGAGATCATTGTAAAGAATGTATTTTGCACTTTGTTTTTATAGTCTTTATTGATCATTTTGAGTAGGATGCTTATAGACTGGCTATAAATTTCAGATGGTCGATATCCTTGTGAGAAACTGGGCACAAAATAAAGTTGTTTTTTTTTTATGGTGCCTTCAAGTGGACATATACTCAAAGCTAACTTAAGGCTGTTTCCTTGCAGGAATGAATAAATAAAAAAAAAAGAATAGAAAAATAAAATAGAAGGGTTGAAAGAAAACTATTTCTGGAGAAAATGCTGCTCTGGTGTTTATCCAATGCTGCTCACATGACCAGAGGTAAAATGGGGTCATGTAAATATGTGACCAAATGCATTTTGTTTTAGCAGCAATCAAGAGAGCCTGGCGCAACATTTTCTCCAGAAAAGAGAAGCATTTTATCCCTTCTGTGACTCTTAAGTTATCCACCCCAGCAAGACTGCTAACATTTTTTTAAACAGAATAATAGACTACTAACGTTTATGTTAACATTTGCTTGTAGGTACAGGACTGGACAAATTACAGGAGTCAGGTTACCAGCGCTCCTTAAATTACTATGTGAGAGATAGTCTGCGCTCCTGGATCAAACTAAAATAAATAAATAAAACCTAAAGCAGCTGAGAGATGAAAGGAGATACATCTCCTTAAAATGAATGAAAAAGTGATAACCAAGTGCTAAAGGTTAACATTAATTAAAGATATAAATATGTAAATCCGTGATTAAGGTGAATAAATTATATTCAAATAAAAACAAGTGTTTAAAGATTGTGTGTAGAAAAAACTGCGTGAATAACACAGCCTCAAAAAAGTTAAATTAATTGTGGGTTGGTGTAATAAAAACCAATAAATATCTTAAATTGAATAGTGACAAATGAAATATCCAAAAATAGTGACAAACTAGGGTAATACTGAATATATAACAAGTTAATGATAAACGTTAGAATATGTCATCGAAAAATAAAATATAACATATAAATTACGGGTGGTGCCTAACTTTTGAGGTTTTCTCTAGGTAGTTGCCAATGAAGCTGGCTCCTAAACAGAATTCCTGAGTTAGACAGACTGGCTTCTGAATTCCATATTAAAAGAGAACTATGGCCAAATCCTTTTTTTTTGGGGCTTTAGTCCTCTTTTGGGTCACAGGAGAACATTTACTTATGTACTCCTGTGTGACCCAAAGTCAGCAAATAGCAGGCTACTGCCCACTATATGATGACAGCGCAGAGCCATGCTGCAGCGGGGGAAAGATCCCATTAATATTGTCAGGATCCACCCCACTGCCTGATTGACAGCTGGCTCTGCCTCTCTAGAGCCAAAGCCGACCCCTATCCCCTTTCTGTACCTTCAATGAGTGCTGGAGGAATAGAAAGAGAAGGGGGGAATCTCTGCAGGGTGTGGTGACTGGCAGTCACCACTCTGCAGGGAGAAGACCGTGAGCTGAGAGATGAGCGGTTTGTTATGACTCAGTTCTCCATCTATAGAGCTGACTTGTGATAGCTACAGTCACATGCCAGCTCTAAGTATTGGGAAAAGTACATTTTACTCTCCCAGTATTTCTCCATTAATTTGTCCCCACTAGACCTTTTTTTGGTTAAATCAGTTTGAAATAATGATAAATGTCTAAGCTAGTAAAGTAATGTGCACACCTCAAGAGGTGACCCCACTTAGTTTAATCACAGTCAGTTTTTTGCCTGTTCATGCTGAATGTGCTATCTGCTGGGGATGTTGAATTTTGCTGTGGTCATTGATTGACCCCCATTAATGGAGTCTTGAGGTAGGTTGTAATTTATATAGTTTATATTGGATTTTATATAGTGTGGCCAGTTTTTTGCCTTTTGTGTTTGTTTTTGCATAAATGGATGAGACCATGAAGAGTTTAATCAATGAAAGCTGCACAAATGTAGTTTCAGGGGTTGTTTTATTTTATCTTGGTTCATTTTTAGAAGACCTTGTTCTTTACTTTAACAAGGTAGCAGTAAGCTTTGGCACACTTGGCTGTGGGTTCTTTTGCTTTCCGTGCATCTGCAGATGGTTGCCTAGCAACATCCTGTCTCTTGGTTAAGAGGATGGGACATGAAATGATGCTCCTAGTGACACAGTATTTATTGGATGCTCCAAAATTTCATGTCTTCTTTGCTTCTTGTTCTCAGCATTAGAAACATAAACCATTTTTAAAATTCTGGCTAAAGTGGACCTATAATTAAAAAGCGCACTTCCCATGAATCTACAGGGCACCTGTGTGTTTTAAAATACTATGGGGGGAGATTTATCAAAAAAGGAGCAGACAGAATCTAAAGCAGCAGTGCATGGTGACCAATCGGCTTACATCTTTTTATTTTCAAAGCTAAACTGAAGAGCGAAGCTGATTGGTTACTACAGGCACTGGCTACCATGTGCATTATAGATTTTTGAAATCATTAGAGACTGCAATGATTCTGTTGTCTTCAGTCAGTGACTTTTTTTTATTGTTAAACAGTTATTTGTAAAAATTCAAAGGAAGACAGGTCCTGCATCATAGCTGTGGTGGACCTCTAGTTGATGAGGTGGTCTGAGTAGGACGGGTATTGATTGGGGATGCACCGATACCGGTTTTTCTGTATTGAGTACGAATACCAATATTTTTTTTGTCTGTACTCGCCGATAACGGAAGTCCCATTAAGGAAGCCGGGCGTTGTGTAATGACTCGCTGCCCTGCTTCCTGATTGGTCAGGAAGCTGGCCAATCAGGAAGCCGGGCGGCGAGTCATTACACACTGCTGGCTTCCTGATTGGCCGGGAAGCCAGCTCCATGCTCCCTGTGCAAGTCAGAAGGGGACATGAATTTGGTTAGATTTACACAGACAATTACTTCAAAGATCTGCCAGCACCCGTGTTGTTTCGGCCTGCATTCTGCTACTATTAGGAAGTGCTGCTATCGCTCCAAAGCCATTAAAATGCACATGGCATACCGATTCATCATGACTTTGATATTTGGAGGTGCTTGGCAGGCATTGAAAACACCCACTCTTGATATGGTTTTGAAAATAGCAGCAGCAACTCTATTTTGACATAGTACTGATTTTACCACGTCTCAATCACTTTACAAACACTGATTAAACCATGAACTAGTAAAGTGAGAAATGATGCTGCAATTCCACAGTGAATCAGACATGTAAAATTAACTTGCTAAGAAAAAGATTCTATAATAAATCGGTTAACCACAAGGTGGCAGCATTTGACAGTATAATAGCTATAAAACAATAGGTACCAATTGTTTGTATGTAGAAGAGTGTTAGGGTTAGTGTGTTCTAGATGCACTAGAGCAGTCAACCTTTTTTCACACAGCGTCACGCTTTGTATTGTACATGCAGATTGGCTGCCAGCGCCATGGAAGCAAATGATGCTAATCCATGGAGGGTGAGATCCATTCAGAAAAGGATGAATTTTGCATCAGACCAGGCCTGTTTCACTCCCTGCCCTCTACCATGCTGCTGAAGCTGCAGCTACTGGTGTGATGGTAGGATTCTGATGTGAAGGGGGACTGAGGACTCTGATGTGAAGGGGGAATTCTGACATAAAACAGGGCTCCTGAGTTCAAGGGGGAACATAAATGTGCTTTTAACAGCCATGTAGCCAATTACACATGTGGAATACCAGTATTGGAATGGCTGTATTAGTCATAAATTTGTAATTCTGTTAAGCTAATCTTGTGATCCAACGACCCAAGCCATACCACAGAGCCATCTCATTCAACTTGATAGTAGCAGCTAGGGATGCCCTGATACCAAGTACCGTACTCGGTACAAGTACAGATACTTTTCAAGCTCCTAGACTAGACTAGAGAAAAATTAAAACGTTAGGAGGCAGCTGTCATTTGTAAGGAGCATACGGATCTCCTGGGATTTGAACATCTCTGTTTTAATGTATTATTTTGTTTTTTTAAATATAAATAAAGGGATGCACCGATACCGTTTTTACAAGTACTGATACTTGCCCAAGTACTTACAAGTACTGATACATTTTTGTTCATTGTCATGTGACAGTTTTTTTCTAAAACAATACAGGCTAATGATTTCAGGACAGTGGTGGAGCGCCAGAGCCAGGTCCCAGCTGCAACCGCTGCAACCCTGGTAGTTCTCATGAAAAAAAGTATCGGCACCGGTACTCCAAATGTTT